CCTAGAGCATCGCCAGATACCAAATGACTGAACTATCATGATAATGAACAATTTTACTAACAATTTTGTCAAATACCCGAAGGTTGTCGCTAAATATCAAATGGTCCGCATCCAACAAGTTAACACGCGATTTTAGAGAAAAATTTAATTTCCTTAGTCGAGATTTTATAAATCATAAGGTCATATTTAGTATATACGACTGGAATTTAACAATTATAAATTATAAATATTTTCTGGGTTATAGAGCTATTGTTTTAGTAGTGACAAACTGGTTACTCTAATGAAAAATTAAAAGATAAATTAACTTAGACGTAAATACAGTAATACTTAAGTTATCGCAATTAGAAAATATTTATTCTTTATGACCCTGTATAGAATAAAAAATACCTATAAAAAAATTAGCAATTTTTGCTACCACATACGTGTGTGCCATACCCGCCCACAAAATGTTAATTGAGCCAACATGTGGCGAAAAAAAGAAGATTTTTATGAAAACTCAGATGAAAATTAATTTCGGCAAGTAAACAGAACAAGAAAAGGACATAATAGTGCGGAAAAATGTATAAAAGTGCCCAGCAGTAGCAAAAAGAGTGGAAAAACTATAAATAAATAATATGTTGAATACGTCCAGGAACGTGTTTTATCCTTCCGCACACATCCTGCAGCAACACAGTTGAGTGCTGCGTTTGTGTAGATTTACTGGTTATTGCCACTAAGACTGACGTGCCAAGTTAAGTTAATAGATCATCACTTCAGAGGAACACATGTTAACCACAAAATATATACTACCTAGCAATAATAATTATATGAGAAAATGGCAACAAAAAATTATATTAAAGCCAAGTTAATATTATTAAATGTGCACTGAACCCGCAATGTATGCAGCGTAAAATTCAGGTAATTACACACATCAACAAGCTTCATTATTAGCGGTTGCCTTGTTTTTCTAGTATAAACGAGCATTTTGGACTGAGGTGATTTAATGTGGCTTGATAAGCGTAAAGCACCGACCGCACCGACCACGCCGCTCGCTTCGCACACATCACATAGACGTACATTAGAGACATTTGCGATTTACCAGCTTGTAGACACTAATTCCAATGGAATTCATTAGCAGATAACCAGGCAAGGTTAATAGCGACTTATTAGGATGAAGTTTAACGGTGAAATTTATTTGCTGTTGAAGCTGAAGTGAAGCCGAGCGGAAGCGCAAACCCCAAGCGATTTCATTAACATATTTAATTAGAAAACTTATCGTATAAGAAAGTTAATATGGAAAATAAACAAGACCAACCAAATAGCAGCAACAACAACAACAACAACAACAAACAGTAATAATGTTCTATGTTCTAAGCTAAGTCTAGAGAAGAAAAAAAAGAAAAATATAATTTTGCTTCTCTCTAGACAAATTCAACAAGTTTAATTGATAAATTATTGAATAAATTTTTTTTCTTTCCACTCTTCTTCTTCTTTTCATGTACATTAAAGTGCAATAAATTGCTATTTCGAAGTCTATGAGTTTTGATGAAAAAGGGTCAGAAGCCAGTACACTCGATTATAAGTGGTTGTGACATGTTTGGCTAGACAATCTAACTTTTATATTTTTATTAGGAAATATATTTAATATTATTGACACGGGTTAATGTTCATGTATTTCGAGCAAATGCCGCCTCATTAAGGTGTGAAAGTAATTAATTGTGAATAATTAAGACATTAAACAACAAATTAAGTGAGACAGCTGTTTCGGATAATGTCAAATATAATTTTATGAAAAATAACCTATTAAGTTTCTTTGCACTTCTTGTTATAAGTAAGACTTTAAAAGCATATGTTAATAAAAAAAAAATAAACAAATATCAATTAACAATTTATTTATTTTTATAAAAATTACTAGATAGCAATTTGAAGTAAACCAATAAGTTAAAATAAACAAGCACCATTAAGTTATCATAATTATAGGGAAAATATAATAATTATGAAAAAATATTTAACATTATTCACTAAACTGATTATAAATGTCCTCAATTGCAATAGAAATATATTAATTGTTAACATTAAACTAATTTAAAATTAATTACTTGATTAATTAAGGATACAATTCAGCTTTCACCTATTTTTTTAGCACTGTTTTTGGCTTAAATTCTTCATAAATTATTTTAAATTAAAAATAATACATTCACTTTCCAATGAACTTGATATTTACCTACAATTAAATTTGTGTATGCAAGCATATATACATTAGAACATCAAGAAAAATAGAGTAAAATCAGATGCTCCATAATAACAGATCTTTCCATAATAAATAACCAATCAATAAAGCTCGTAAGTAAGTAAAACTCGCACAGCTCGTGATTCATTCGCATGCCCTAATCGTCGCCAAATCGTAGAGGACCCAAGACCTTACGAAGAGCTTTTCTCTAGAACATTCTCTGTGCTGCTTTGTCATTATGTATTAATGTCCATGCTACTCCACCATACAGAAGCGCAGGAAGGATGAGCAACCTATAGAGCGTAAGTTCTGTTTGTCGAGAGAGAGAGATTGAGAGACAGAGCTCTACATCCCAATTGCCTACTGAGTCTATAGTAGCACCTATTACCAATGCTGATTCCTCGTCTAATTTTCAGGCTGACATCGCTGTTATTTGTTATGGCGGTGCCAAGGTAAATGAAATCTTTGACAGATTCGAAAATATAGGCACCAGCCATTAGCTTGGCATACGAGCGACCAGTAGTTGATACATTATTCGTTTTGCCTTCATGTATCGGTAAGCCCATTCTTGCAGATTTCTTTTCAATAGCAGCAAAAGCAGCTGTTACATTATGCTTACTACGTTCAATGATGTTATGTCGTTGGCGTAAGCAAGGAGATAGACACATTTGTAAATTATTTTTCCATTAAGATTAATATCTGCCCTGCGCATGATCACTTCCATGACGAAATTGAAAAGATCAAATGATAAGGGATTACCTTGTCTGAAGCCTCGATACGTACCTTTGAGAAAATGCACAAAAATGCAAACTCCACGTGCAAGTGAAGTACAGTTTTCTACTCTTCCGTAGAGCCACAAATTCGATAAAACTCATTTAAATGTGGACCAATCAAGTCTTATTCCATGCTTTGCTAATATGCATTGCACTATCAGCACCGATACCATAGTAATAAGCTGGTTTGGCATTAAGTTTTGCAATAATGGATATAATTATAAAAATATAAATTATTTGCTCCCTCGCTTTATACTTAAAAGAACCAGCAATCTTTATAAAAATTAATATCAAAATTTTGATTAATATTTATTATAAAATCAATATTTTAAAGATACATTTATGTGATTAAAATTAATTGGAATAAAAGCATACTGCAACATATTGCACTATTCACAGAAATGATGCACTCCTCTCATTAGCAACTGGAGCGTATATACGTCGAAGTATTAACCCAGAATAATTATAATTTTCCTCTTTTCACGTCCTCTTACTCTGAACGTGTTTGTGCTGTTGAAAAATTCTAACGATATTTTTCCATACGCAGAATCGCAATTAAAACAGGCGTTCCATGAAATACTTTCCGCTGCCGTGCAACTTTTAATCTCCAGCGACAAAAGCGTGCTTTATGCTGCTCCACTTCATCTGTATAATCAAAGTGCACTTAATTAAGGCACACAAATCCATTTTAAACAGAAAATCCAAATACTGGAATTTTACTTTTATTATAATAAATTATTCTGTTAGAAAGTTTTTCTACATTAGCATTAGAATGGAACTCAAACGCTTTCGAAATCCCAAACGAGAAAAAATTGTGAACTTTTTCATTGAGTACAAAACCGTTCCATGCCAGAGTCGACTAACTCCCGAAAGGTTTTTTTTGGTTTTGTAAGAACTTTTATTAAAGTTTTAATTGACAAGTGTCAATGTCACCCACAAAAAAAAGGATAAAAAGGTTAAATATGGAAAAAATTCAGTCAACCTCCAGAGCTCCAGAGAGCAGACTAAGTAGAAGAAAAACTAAAAGAGTGAAATTATTTTTTTTCTTCTATTTTCTAAATAAAATTTTCTATTTTTTGAAATAAAAGAAAAAATAAGTTTCGCCCAAGTGCAAAATAAACTTCTTTAATAAAAAAATTATTATGTATGTAAGCAGGTCTTTATGCTTCTAAATGTCCAATATAAATGTAAAAATGTTTACTTATGCACACTCCTCTTGTATGCACAGCACCCAAAGCTGCAGAACAGGGGTCAGGGTTTGGATACAATTTATACAAAAGCTTTGTGCAAAGTCACCCTGCCCACGACAACAATCAATTTTAAAATTCCTTGACATTATTTAGCAGTTTTTTTTGGTTTAATTTTTATAACTTGTTGGAAGTAGTATCAACCCACTGCTTCTGGTTTGTGACCACCAAGGATGAGTTTGTTTGCTATCCTATGGTTACACACATTAATATGGTTTGCGCTACAACTTATAACATTCGGTACAATAGGTTTACTGATGGGTACTAAACAATTCTGAAATACAAGGTATCTTAAGGTATCTTAAATCCTCTCCAACAAGATACTTTGCTACCATTTCGATTGTATGCAGTATTTAACTTCTGAATTGAAGCAATGGTTAGGAAATTTGAAGGTGGTGTTTTGATTAAAACTAAACAGGAGGGATCCAACATATTGTACCTCGTTAAAACAATCTCAAGTAAACTTAGGTTTTATTCAATTTTGTAAGTTGAGTGAGTGTAAGTTGAGTGTAAGTCGATTGATTTGTCGAGATGGAATAGTATTTTTACTTTTTAGTGGGGGGCGATATAAATAATAAAGCTTTACTGGTCAATGTGACAATGTGTAATTTATCGAGCGAGTACTTTCATATCGTTACTTTTGTTATAGAATTATTCCGATTCTTCAGAATGAAAAGCATTGTGTTTTGTTTACCATATATCTTGTAGAAAAGTTTTAATATATTGTCATTTATATATATTTTTATTAACGGTGAAAAATTAGAGATCTCTTTGTATATCTACTATTCCAGATGGAGAAATGCTGTCTTGTTACTCTAAACCTTTAACATGGCTCTCAAACCTTTAACGAAGCTACATCTTATCAGAAATCCAAGTCATCTGATTTTTATCTGAGATATGTTTCTGACCAGGTCGTCAGCTTGTCCAGAATAGTTGACTCGTTTTTAAGCGGGTTCTTAAAATTCCTTTTAATTTCAGTGATGAGATCGTTATTTTCTCCAGAATAATTGACTCGGTCTTAAGCGGGTTCTTAAAATTCCTTTTAGTTTTAATGATGAGGCCGTCATCTTGTCCAGAATAGTTGACTGGTTTTAAGCTGGTTCTTAAAATTCCTTTTAGTTTCAATGCATTTTAATGTATTTCTTTACATTTTAGTGCGATAATTTTACTAGGCAAAAGGATGTTAGCCCAATTAAATAGTATGTGGGTAACTAGTAACTACTAGATTATACTAGTAACTCGTATAATTTAATAAAACCAAACTAAGAATATTTATTTTTAACGTGAAATTGCTACTGGTGGATTCTAAGAAATATAAATTATTACGAATTCATTTTATGTATTTAAAGTAAATAATAAAGAAAATATTTATTTTAATATATCTAATCTGATTGAAATATTTATCTTCACTTTTATGTAAATATGTGAGAGGAGTATAATAACTATTCCATTCAGACTAACTCGG